CCAGCAACGGCCCCGTCTTCGAGAGCAAGCTGCGGGGTTGGCCCAGGAGTTCGAAGAAGAACTCGCGCAAGAAGAAGGGCAGCTACAGAAGGCGGAATTCAGGTTAATGCATTGCCGTTGCATGACTGACTGTAGTGATACTGTATAACTGAAAGTCAATATGGAGGAAAAAAAATGAACTGCCGAATGATTTAGGCATTTTGGACATTCAAAAAAAAAAGTATTTATACCCCTCCCTATTGGGCTTATCTTCTGTTCTTGTTACTGGGAAGTCAAACTTGCACAGATGCCTTTGGCCCCAGTGTGGCATAGGACGCCGTAGAGGAAAGGGAAGGACACAGCCATGCTCTGAAGGAAAGCGCAAGACGAAAGATGCACCGCGGGCACAGGTCCTAATGGCTGCAGGGTGAAAGTGTTGGGTGTGGCGGGGAGTCGATAGGTCCGGGCGGAAGGACCAGTGTGTGCGGGACCTGAGCTGCTGGGCTGATCCTTAGGGGGAGCACACTCTTCATCGTGGTGAGAATCAGGAAAAAGAAAACTTGAAAACTTCTTGAAAGGCTCAGGTCTCGAGCGGACTTTCGTGTCCGCGTAAGAGTAGGACTGAAACGCTGCATGTTGTATGGCGACCAAGCATACTGACTAGGTAACTCTCAAGTAGTGGCTTTGTAAAAAAAATATATGAAATATATTATAATATCAATGATAATAAAACACGAAAGAATAATATTGATAACGACGATAGCACAGTCACTCATCTGGACGAATAACGTAGGAATGATGAAAGAAAACTCACCAGTGCCGCTTCACTGCTCCAACCACACACACGGAGCAAGCATAGAACTATCACCCCTGTCTGATGCTAAAACAAGACAACGTAAACTCTTCCAAGTTACAGAATGTCTAACCGTCTTTCGAGTTATTCTGACCACCATGCAAGAAAATGCTCAACCGCTCAGCAGCAATCTGTCTATGGTACCAAAGATAACGGGTGTTTCTCAGTCTAAATTTGCTTGAGTAGGAGGAAAGGATACGCTCTAATTGTGAGGAGATTAGCATTTAAAAAAAAATGGAAATGCTGTAGACAAATGGCTGTAATAATGATAGTAGCTCAAACCCAGACAGCTTTACACATACAGAAATTTCAAATGAGCACCTGTCCAGGCTTATAAAGGGCATAGTCACTGGTGCTCAGACGATCACGTGGTCTCCAGCTGAGACTGTCAAATCATGCTCCACTCTTTTCGGTCCATTAGAACACGTAAATCGGTTTTGGAATCTCCTCACAAATTTCCGTATTCCCAAGCCACATCATATTCCATGAATGCCAATTCCTGATGACATATGGGCAGAGCTTGTCACTGAAATAATGATAAAAAAATAACTGGAGTCTTTTCTCCAAGCTCAATCATAGACCGATACTATAAGTTAGGGCCAGACTACACTGTTCTTCGTGATCTGTTTTCCGTTTGCTAATTTTCTTCACATGATTAGTACGTCTCTTGTCTTTACGTGTTATTAGTTTCATTATTTTATTAAAAAATAATGAAATATACATGCAACCAAAAAAAAAGGAACAAAAAATGAAAACCGATTTTGTCCAAACAATGACTATCCTGAAGAAAGAAAACGGGAAGCAGACGAACAGTGAATTCTGACCTTCCTGTTTACCGTTTCCCAAATGCTGACGGTTAAAAAAAAAGAGGTGCATTTTGTTCAAACTGTGGAGGCTACCACTTCTATTCAATATGGTGTAATAGACATAGAGAGAAAAAAAAAACATGAATTTAGATTATCTCTTTCTTAGATTGATGTGTTGTGAATCAAGCTTTTTTTGATGGTAAATGGTCTGGTTCATGATCTTTTCGAGTCGACACAAAGTTCGAGCGAGAGATTTACTGAAGCCTCGGAACTCGCTGACTCATGACGATAATGAACCAGACCTTTTTTTTTTTGAGGGAGGAGGAAGATTACATATTTTTGTAAATGTGTACATATATATAAGTAGTGTTAATCATTAGGATAGTCCATTGCTTTATTACTTTAATGCGTATTTGGGACACGATGATATATGCACCTTTGTTTTTTTGTTTTTTTTTGTTATTTTTTTCATTAGCGGAACAACCCATTTTTCACATCCTCTTGGGAACGAGAGGCAAAAAGAAAAAAAGAAAGAAAATAGAGAAAAAAAAAAACAAGCGAAGTCTTAAATACACAAAGGTCAAAATCATCTCTCAGTGTGTCCAGCTATTCATGTGGTATATGGATAAGTTTTAAGATTGTGCAGAGAGGCTAGTTTTTCACCTTAATTTAATAGGAGGAGGATCCTTAGTGACATTATCCTATATAGTGAGAGCTCGTCGGAAGACCAACCTGACGGAGCACTGAGACTAAGGCATGAGAACGAGTGGTATTGACTGATACCAACAAGGTTCTATAAAGAGTTACGTGGGATACAAATAGCAAATCAGTATTCATCAATCTGCCTCAGGTATCAGTCATATTCTAATGATTCTTTAAACGTTTTCTTTTCTTTTTTTCTGTAAAACATGTGGATGGCTGGTAATCTCAGATGGCAGCAAGTAATGACGTTTCACTTAATTGTGTATAAATCTATGATTTTCATTAAGGACCAGAATCGATATTTGGTATATCTGTTCTTGGCCTTTATATGCTGAGGATATTGACCTTAGCAATTCGTTGTTTTAATTTTTATTCAATCAAATCTGGCAGACACGTGAATCATGAGTTTTGATAACCGATACATTCCTCAGAGCTGTCCACTGCATTACCTGTTTCCATTATGTCATGTAGATTATTACGATGGCTTCGTTAAGGACTAAAATACTCTGTGTTCGGTGGAATTAGTCAGTATATTCTGTTATTTATTACTGTATTGTATTATTATTTTTTTATTTGACTTAACTAGTTGGATTTTTTTTTTCTTATTTAATGGTAACCATAGGGAATGATTTAATTATTAGGCGACTTGAGATGCAAATCATAATTTTATCCATATACCACATAACTTGAAAGAAATGTATCCCAACTCTAGAAACTAATACTACTTTGTACATTTTTTTTTTATATAGACATCAGTATAATTGGAAACAACCCGAGTCACACAGTATTTGAAGCAAATATCAGTAAGCCTATATGAAATTCCTGGTCAGTATTGCATGTCATAGAGATGCCTTGTTGCTGTTACTAGATGGCTTGTACATCTAGAACACACACACACACTTACAAAAGAAAATATATATATATTAGTGCCCTTAGTTCCAACAGATGTTATGCAGAAATCGCGATGCCTTTTGACTGCTCATTGGGACATCCCACTTTACTTGATAGAGTTAATACTGTCACTCCTTGCTCCTCTACTCTGTATTTGAACTCCAGAGGAAACAGGTCTGTTCAAAGAGAAACTTGTGTATAAACCCCACATACGAGTAATGTTGGTAAGATCATAAGTCTTCTGGAAAAAAAAACATAGCTTGTATTTTATGATATTGTCAGAAAATCATTGCTTGATGATAGGTGAAGTTAGCAATTATGAGCTTAGGTAGCGAATACTATACAGCAATGTACTCATGGTAATGTTTATAAATGCTGCAGATGTTACATTTGATGAACCTGTAATGTAATTTAGAACTGCAGTTTGCATGTCAGTCAAAGTATATAGGAGTTTAGCTGATATAAATATTCATAGGATGGCCTTGAATAACTCAAGTGGCAGCAATCAGTTAGAAACATTGTGTTAGATTGTAAAAATATATAGTCTCCTTCTTTAAAGAAAAAAAGAAAATACAGATATTCGAGAAGTTCCTCAATGGACATTATGCAATAAAAGATATGTGTCTTTTTTTAAATAGAGGAATAGTTACAAACCCATTGATGATGCAAGACCTGAATGTCTGATGATTTACACACGTTGCCAAATAGAGTATCCATTTGCCGGCAGTGAGCCTCGGGATACTCAACAGCTCCACAGGACAGGGTAATAAGGAACAGCATAGCCCATCATGCAAGTTATAGCATATTATTTGTGAATAAAGTTTTCTATCAAATGGCTTCTTTCACCGTTGAAAATAAACTCTTAAGACCAACTTATCCATCATCTTCTTTCATGCCTGAAAGTGCCAGGAAATGAAATGGAACGAAGTGGGAGCTACATAAACCCAAAAGTGTAATTTCAGTCATGCACTGTGGTGTAGTGGTGAGAGGCATATTGTATAGAAAACATTCTTATTTTTCTCTGAACAACTGTTGTTTAAAAAAAAAGCATGGTATCACTTGACTGAGACTAACCCCAGGCCATTTACTTCAAGATAAGTGCTTCTTCGTCAAAGACACTTGGTGATGTGGAGGTTTCCTTGAATTAGTAAGCCTCTGGTACTATAATCTCTCGGTATCAAACTTACCCAATCAGTGTGGTATATTTACCAGCAGTACGCAAGGCTCATAGTTACTGATCTTCTCTTAGTTATTGGTTTTAAATACCCAGATTACAGATAGACTTGGTAATAGCTGGATTGTGTCCGGAAACTGGAAAGATGGTACTGGCCACCAACGGAGAACAGAATGGCTTGTGAAAAAAACTTAAAAGAAAAAAAGGTCGTGACAAATCTCCTTTCAACCAAATTAAAAAAGAAAAAGAAAAAAATGGGATGTTCATAAAGCTGTGAAGGAATTAGATTACATATATATAAAAAAAAATACATGTACATAGACATTTCTTAAAAGTACGTGATGAAAGGAAATCACAAAAGTCAACGTTTGGAGATGTTGTCAGTAGTCAATAGAAGGATCTTGTTGGCAGGGTATAATACTATTACTAAGTTAACGTTTATTATATTTTTTCGCGACTAAGTGATGCATTTGTGAAAACTGGCATTTTCATATGGAATTGTATGATAACTAATCATTTAATTTATTTAGCTATTTCTTTCTGTTCACAGTAGAGGATTTAGTGAACCATCATAGTAACAACTTTTTTTTTTTTTTGTACTTGTCTTCTGTAAATAAAGCTGTGGAAAGCGCTAATGATAATAACTTCTCAAGCTAGTCAGTTCTTGCAGATAATTTCTCTCCATAAAATGATATAAGGATATTCTCTAATGAAACAGTTAAGTGGTATGTTGCAATGCACATCTCACAAACTCTACTAAAGCTTAATTGCTCTGTATGTCTTAACTTAATGAAAATGGGTGAAAAGAAATGAATTCGATAGCTTTTCTCTTCTCATCGTCTCGCTTATCATTTTATTTTCATATATATATTTTTTGGGGAAAAGGAATAAAAAAATATATATTTTTTTTTTCTTTCATGGACCAAAAAATAAAAAAAAAATGTTTCTTTTCTTTGAATCAAAATACAAGTGAATCTCTGTTTTTTTCATGCAATATTCTGTGTATCATTGTAATAAGAACAATAATTTTACAGAATCTGAATCACTTTTCTGTTCCCCTTTATTTTATTTTATTTTTTTTTAATGACATTCACTCATTTTCATCTTTTCCTTTATGATTGTCTTTATAATTCTCTTTCATCTTTTCTTGCTTCCATTTGATTGTCAGGGGCTCCGTTAAGAAACAACAAAGAAAACAATAAAAAATTATCCTAAAGTCTCTTTTACTCAACATTACAACGACACGAACAAAAAAACAAAACAAAAACAAGTGCTTCCCCAAACACACTTATATATAAAAATCTTCCTTTTTAATGAACAAACCAATAGAATTAATCTCAACAATCGCTTCCATTTCTTTATTTTTTATTTATTTGTTTTTTTTTAATCATTATCAACACTTGATCTTATAGGAAACATTGAACAAAATTAGCCCCGTTTTTGTTCACTGAAAAACTACATTCTGTCACCCTTCACCCCCTCCTCCCCCTCCCCCCTCCTCACCCTCCTCTCCTTTCCTCCCTTCTATAGTCTGGCAGCTGAAACAGACTTTGCATTATTATTATTATTATTATTATTATTATTATTATTATTATTATTATTATTATTATTATATTGCTATTAGTGTTATTGTTATTATTATCATTGATATTATTATTATCATTATTATTATTATTATTGGTATTATTATTATCATTGATATTATTATCATCATTGATATTATTATTATCATTATTATTATTTTGATTGATTATAATTGTATCATTGTTATTATTATTATTGGTTATAAATATATTGTAGTTATTATTAATCTTATTATTAGTATTATTATTATCATTTTCGTCATCATCATTATCACTAATTATTGATAATTATGAAAATTATTATACTATTATTAAACTGCATCTCCTTGTTTAATAATTGGTTTCACTTTTATTATCATTATTGAGGTATTTCCTACCTCGTGTTCTTTCACTGCATATTATGAGCCTCTTGCAAATGAATAAAATAAAAAAAAGTATATAAAAAAAAAACATACTGAACTAGCACAGCAATTCCTATTTGCAATATTCACTTGGGCACCATATCTTATAGTGTATTAAATAGATCTACAGCAAATTAATTATGCAATAAATGATTTTATCGAAGAAGGAAAAGGAAAAAAAAAGATTGTACAGTAGGTCTTTGAAGGTTTTGAGTGATGAGTTCGCTAACATGATGATGAAAATATCTGTCCTAGATTATAAATGCAGGTTTAAATGGATTCTCCCTAACTAGGAAAATCGTCCAGCGTCAAAAATACATGAAGAAAATAACCCTTCGTGGAGAACAGGGTCTTTGTAAGCAACAATAAGAAATCAGAGTGTCTTTGGTTCCAGTTTTTGGCCATCTTTGAGGTTTAAAACTACGTGCACGACCGTCAGCTTCTAGCAAACGACTTTTATTTTGTTGGTAAGAGTAAAAAAAAAAGTGAAAAAGTGGAGTACTAAGAGCCGAAGGAATGATTCAAGAGGGTAATGAGACACGGCAAATGGACCTGTATTTCTACGATTAATTCAAGTTGTTTCGTATATTTTTGGTCATCTCCCCCCTCGCATGTAAGTGAAATATCTCAGGGAGTGAGATTTGCACAATATAAGCCAACAGCATAGAAATCAACTTTATAGTGTTATACTTGCTTACGACTCAAACTATCGTTATTTGATTTCTATGGAAATGCCAGGAAAATGTGTGTCAAAATGTCTTTTTAAAAAATGATGACAGTATTGACAATGGCTTAGGAGTATCTTACCGCACTTCTGATGGCAATACTGAAGCCCCCCCCCCCTCACGAAGAAAAAGAAAAAAAAGTATGGTAAAATATCCTCTTATCTATGTATGTATATAATATTACGTATGGCACTGTACATCAGCTGAAACATACGTCATGCAATCATGGTGGTTTTTCCCCCAGTCTTATACATGTACCATGAACTCTGAAGATCTTAAGACTGCCTGCTCTTGATATAAAGTGTTGTATGTTGAAGACTACTACACATGACCATTATAGCATAACAAACCAATGTCTTCCTTATTTTGTTAGCAATCACATGTAA